TGAAAAAACAGACAATTCTTTTCTCTTTAGACTTGTAGAATTGAATACCTACCATATCTAACCCCCTTAAAAAACACAGCTAGAATAATCATGGTAAAATCGTTTAATCTTCAATTTTTCCCTCTTATTTTCATCGAAAATGATACTGAAGGAGCACATTCAATAAATTGGTATTAAATTTAGTCAAAAAACCGTTGTATTTTCTTGCATAAAAGAAATGACCCCTTGGAAAATAATAGTTAATACATGTACTTGAATAAAATTACAAATACGGAAAAAAACCACTTAGTAAAGGTTTACAGATGAAAACAAATCTCAGAATATAATTTATTATACCTCATTATAAATATTCTAAACAACGCATTATCTGATTGGTTCTAAGTTATCACGTGATCGGGCCGTAAAACTTCATATTTCCCGGCCGTCGGCATGCTTTTCATCATATTCCACCTCTTCGGATACTTAGTGCATTTTCCCGCAAAAATTATCGTTCGTTTAAAGGAAACTCCCGAGAGTATAGTAGACGTCACAATATCCTGGTTTAAGTCATAAAATTGATGATAATGTGTTGACCAAAGAGTTTTAGTAACGTTTTGTTAAAAATGAAAGTGAATTTGAGAGCGGTGCCGAATTTAAAAGTTTCTGTTTATTTCAAAGGTTTTGCTTGTTTCGGTATTATAAACAATTCATTGCATGAATGTTCGGGAAACATTAAGACTTATTCAGCCAAGAAATATCATATCCCCCTCGGGCGAAGCCTTCGGGGAATATGATTTTTCTTTGCTGAATAAGTCTTCATAGTTCCCTCACTATCATGCAATAAATGTATAATATGTGCTAGTTTGGTGCTAAAAGTGTAATTTAAACTTTAATAATATATCAGGCTCGGTGAATTTTTTGCGGAAAAGCAAAATGGTTAGAATCAGACTACTATTTGATTTTTGTGAATTTTTACCGTTTTGTTTTTCCCGGGGGAATTATAGAATGTATTTCATTCTCAAAGTCCTTGGAGAGAAAAAAAAATTCGGAGAATTACGAGTATATCCTCTTTTCTAAAACTAGAACTGTGACTTGATATTTAATCTCCTCCAAAGAAAAAAATGTTTGTATCATCTGTCCTTAACAATGACTTCGTAAGACAAGTTCTTGAAATGTTACAATGTTCATTTCAATTTATACTGAATAACTGTGTATATATACTCAATAAAAGATGATTATGACAGTGGTCTATCGCAAAAAGATCTATAAACGTAACAAAAACTGACCTTTTGCAATTCCTGAGGTGGGATCAGGTAGGAGGAGTGAGCATCCCCTGTTGACCGATTTATTGATCAGAAAGACGTAGTAAATAACGTAGTACAATGGCCTAACAATAGATCTGAAACAATTCAGCCAAAATAAGACCTATATAATGATAGGTTTTCTTTACTAACAAGGTCGTTATAACGGCCCACGAAATGCCGAGGAACAGATTTATAAGTGTGTACAAATGTCAAAATTCTTCATTTTTGTTTTGCAAATTAATGCAGTTGTAACATATGTTGGTCACTCATCCAAAGACAAAGGATACTCAGGCTTACTGTATAGCTTAATATTGAAAATATAATATAATATATAAAATACCAGTATATCATTCTCTTGAATGACTTGAAATAGGGGGAAAATATACCGAATCACTTTTCTAACTCCTCAATGAAGGGGTATGATTAGAAAGGTATTGTTTGCAAGACAAACAGCTGTATATATCGTGTGCTAGATAATTACTAGTAAGGGTATAAGTATTAATCCAATATAGAGAGACCTTATATACTGCTATGATAGCAAGTCAATGAAAGCTTGAAATAACTTATAATAATTATAATCCCTGAAGTAAAACACTCTAGGTTTAAGAGCACTTTCGTCAACAATATTACAATTTAGAAAAGAAAGTACACGTCCTTCCGTCTTTCTTTAAAAAAAAAAACGCATTCTTTAAGTATATGTACTTATTTTTTGTATCTTGGCGAGAGAAAGATTTTCAAGTGGGAAAAAAGACAGATTGCATTCATACACGTAAACCGATTTTATAAACTGGTATAGCTAAGTAACTCAACTTTAACTATAATAGAAATATTTACTCTTATATTCACCTATTTATACTCACTTATTCCACTTAATTTATTCACTTATTTGGTTGAACATCGATCCATTATCAGTAAAAGTATGCTCTGAAAAGTTTTTTTTTATATAGAAAAAATTTAATTTATCTAATATTCTTTTATTTACTAAAATGCTATGTTTCCTCATACTACGAATAATTTATATAAAACAAAGTTTAACGTGGAAACGAAAGCGAGGTAGACAGACAGCTAGACATACAGACCAAAATTAATATCCCCCAATTACGGGAAGGGGGGTTAATATTTTGTCGATTCAACCATTTATTAATCGTCTCCCAAAAGCAAGCTATTTGTTTTGATTGGTATTGATAATATATATACAATGTGATTTTTTATTTTTCCACTCTTTTCTTCAGAATGCTTTTGGTCCTTTTGATTTTCAATATATTAACATATATACATGTAAGCTAGAATAAAAAAAAATGTACATTCTTTTAGCAAAATGACGATCAACTTTTTATGTGCTTGTATACTACATATAAAAACGAACAATATGGAAAAACAATATGAAACATGCATGTACATGTAGGACCAATCGTCCCTAAAAATCGAAGGTAAGAGATGGATTTATTCTTGCCTACAATATAGGGATGTCAAAGTTGTCAATAATTGATATTCGAATATTCGATAGGAGTATTCGAATATATTCGAATATTCGATAAAATAAATACATCTTGCATTATTAAATATATATCTTCACTCTCTTGTCAAGTAGTGCAGAGTTTATGCCATTATTTGGAATAAAAACTCATGTGGAGTTCGGTAAATACACTGCAATTATATTTTTTTAAAGAAATATTGAATAGTATACATCCCAAATGTAATGATTGTTAGAAAATTCAAAAGATTCTTTAGTATGTTCCAGATTAATTATTGATCGTCTTACTAAAGTCTACACTGATAATTCCTACAAATTTATACCAAGCAGAACAATTATCTAACGGTGAAATATTAAAAGCAATTACTTTTCGCTAATTATGATTTCCTGATAATGATTTTTAATGATTTTTACATAAAGAAGGGGTCCGTGTGTTTACTGTAAAACTATGTCCTTACAACAATACAAGCTGATTGTAAGTACTGGAAACTATTATACTACTAATTAAGTGAACAAATACATAAATTACTCTAATAGATATACTCTTCACACCTTTAAGGTGATCCAAGAGGAGTGGGTTTTTTTTAAATTTTGTACAAACTTTATTCAATTTCTAATAAAACTTGCCAGGGTTTTCTCTCTTTTTAATGCTTGTATACTTAAAAAGGAATATTCGAATCATAAATCTATATTCGAATATCAACTCATCGAATGAATATTCGAATATTCTTTGACATCCCTACTATAATAGCATAAAAGTATCAATTAGAAATTATTATTGAAAACGCATTTTAATTGTTGAATACATTACAGGTAGAGCAACAAGTGCGTTTAAAATAAGACATGTATGTTTTGATCTTTTAATAATAACAATACATGTCATTAAAATCAGATATCAAAACATAATTACATTCAAAATGATCAAAATAAAAACAAAATAAGATTTAGCACGATGAAAATCATTGAAATCAGACATGTACTGAATCATAAACTCAAAAATTTGCACAATAAAGTTTATTATCATCATACATTCATGTAAATGAATTACAAATTCAAAGATACAATAATAAAAATCAGACATACATGTATCAAACACTTGAAACACAGCACAATTAAAATCAATAACATCAGACAAAACTTAGCAAACCGCACACAAAATAAATGGTTAGACTAAGCCAAATAAAATAGTTCAAATGAGCCATACTTCATCAAAGACTCATGACAATGGATTTGAATAGACTTATCAAAAGACAAATACTTTAATGAGAACAATAATAATAAAAATGGCAAGAAAAAACAAACTAGACAAATAAAAGTATCAAAACAAAACGTCCATGACTCCCATAATAAACATTGTTGATATGGGAGGGAGGTGTGATTTTAAGATAAAAATTATTTCTCAATTTTCGTTTTATGAACACTGTTTTGGTTAATGCTGCCTTCTAGCCATGGTTTGCGGTTAAACAATTGCTGCCACTGAGTTTCGGAAGTTTTAAAGACATTAATAACAATTCATGCTAAAAATACAAATATAATTTCGACTTTTGATAAATTCTTTTTTTTCTGAAAATTCCGATCCCCTTCATTTTCAATTCATTATACTCAAAACTTATTAGAAGCGACAATGGTCGCGTATTATAAAAATGACAGTGAATGAACTTTTTTATATACACAACGTATGTACAGTTTTGAAAAATAGTATCAAATATTAAATGTTTATAGTTCTTAATGTATATCTGAAAATCAAAAGTGATAGTCCAACTTTTGTCAACGTATTTCTTAACTAGTTTTATTCCCCAACCGGTTTGCTAATATACGAAAGAAAATAGAAAATTGGATAGATGCCATAGTTGATAACACGTTAAATTAAATACCTAATAATTATAACCTGTCACATGACTTCCATTGTGTATAAAAATATAGATTGTAATACATCGAAGTGACTGTATCCGCATTCTTAATGACTTGAAGTATTTAACTCTTATGTTGATTTACAACTCAAGACAAAGCGATTTTAAAAAGTTGTATAAGATTTCAAAAAATTGTATTTTTAGAAAACTAAAAAAAACTATTTGTAAAAAAAAATACCAAGATAATGTATTGAAAATACAGTATTTCTAGGAAAGAAAATGTCAAGAATGTTGTTAAGATACTTTGACTAATACAGCTGAAAAAAATAAAGAAATGCCGTCCTTTCATATTAAAAAATCCTATCTCAAAAGAGAATCGCATTTATTAAACTCTCCCAAGATACAATATAGGCCACATGCTCAATTCTACACATTGGACTTTGATTGAATTTGAATCAAAGATGGTTGATTGATCTATGATCATCATATAATGCATAATATTGGAGAACATTATTTAGAGGTAAATGTCTTTCTTTTTCTTGTCATCAACAGTAAGCATCCCATTCCTGTAATGACGGCACTGAGAATAATAGATCCTGAAATCACAGCAGAAAAGATGAGTGGGTCTGATAAGGGACGATCGGCATCTGAAAGGGTTTGAAAGGCTTCAGTAACGATATCTGTTCCTTGAAAAATTATATATAAATATGTAATTTAAGTTTTTATAGAAACATGTATCAGAAAATGAAAAGCAAATATGTATAATTTATATTTAAAATATGTATAATTTATATTTAATATATATATATATTTTAATTTTATATAGCTACGTACATGATTTAGGCATACTTACAGCTATAATAAAAAAAGATGTTTTTTTTTAACTCACCATTTACTTGCTTTGACTGAATTGTTCTTTTGTTCAGACTGTTGATACATTGACCAGTTATACATGTTTCTAACCATTCTGAAAAAAAAGAAATAGAAAAAACATAATCTAGACAATTAAATAAACAATCAAACATTTGCAAAACCAACAAAACCAGAAAAATGAAACTTTGTAAATGCATAAACAAATTTTGTCCTTAGACATCAAAGTAAATAATGGATTCAATAGATTTACCTTGTTTTCTTTTATTTATGGTGCATTCGATATACATATTTTTAGAACTGTATCCACAGTCATAATTCTTCTTGCTTTCTAACTTTAAAATAATATCAGTGTCGTATTTGATGTGTATTCTGATATAGTTATCCTCCCTCGATGTTTCTTTTACAACACAGTCTTCGGAACATTCTGTGATATTACTCAAAGAAACTTTTTCTAAAAGATGTAAGGGCACTGGTTTTAAACATTTCTATTTGTTATCTTGTGTGATAAATTTATTCTAAAATATATAAAAATCTAATCATACACTTGAACTCTGTAATACTAAATACTAGTATTCAAAGCTGTAAAATGTCTACTCACTTTCAAAACTGGATAAACATGTTGTGGTGTTTGTAATCTTCTTGTAAAAATCTGTGGCTCTTTCAATACATTGTCTGTAGAAAAACATATTTTATTCAAATTTGAAATTCATTCATTGTTTTTAACATACCTAATAAATATAACTTGTCATATAAATTATATTACCCCTCCATGGCACCTGATAACACATCTCGTGTTTTGGAGGTCAATGTTTTCCCTGCTCCTGTTTTGTATTGTTTTATGGATTTTGAGCTTGAATATTGTTCGTTATAAATCTCAATATATACTTCATTTTCCAGAAAAAATAAATATATATGCAACAAATAACGAAACTAATGAAATAACGCAATAGATAATAAAAAATAATGGGGGAAAAATAAATTCGAACAATACTTACAGACTATTAGAAACGCCGACAACATGATGGCACAGATGACATAAAGCTACCAATGTTTCAACGGGAACCCGTTTCAACAACTAAACCAAAACATTCAATTTAATTATTTTCGTTATTCTCATTAATTTTTAAAATAATTGATATACAATATACCAGTAACATTGACTTTCTGAATTGATTGGGATTTAAGTGTAATGTACCGTGTTCTAATTTTCTTTATCAATCTAATCTTAACATTCATATTTGTCAACAACAAAAGCATTCAAGTGAAAAAAAAAGATCAACAAACGAGGCTCCCTTTTACTAAAATTACCATGTCGTGAAGAAAAAAAGAGACACAGTGAACAGAAAAAAATATGATATTAAAAACATGAGGTTCATAACGATATAAAACATATGTAATCAGAGATTACAGAGCTCACCTCAACGAATGTTGTCTTTAAGTAAGGCAAAGTCACACAATTAACAAACAAAAACTGTACACCCAAAAAGGCAAAATTTTTGCAATTTGATTTGATACTTTGGAATAGACCTATATAAAAACTTTAAACTAGTTCTTTATCATGAAAACGTAATTAAAATCCAGCATCTGAAGCAAGTTTGAGAGTTTTCATCCCTTGATGCATCATTTGTGCAACTTTGGTTTATATAAGCCTTGTTGTTTCTTGGTAATAGACCTGCACCCATAACTTTTATGAGGTCCATTATCTGGAAAATGTATGTCGAATTCAGCATCTGAAGCAACTCCATTAGTGTGCATCCTAAATTGTAACAACCATGCAAGTTTGCTCAACATAGAGCTCAAAGTTACTTGGATATGAAACCTGTATAAAAAAACTAACCTTTTCACTAATCAAGAAAATGTAGGACAGATTCAGCATCCGAAGCAAGCCTGGTTGTGTGCATCCTAAGATGTACCATCCATGCAAGTTTGGTCAACATAGGGCTTATGAGACCTACACCAAAAACTGCACCAAAATGTTAACCTGCTCCAAAAACATTAACCTGGTCATTCCTTTGCTGAAATTGCAGCATCTGAAACTTTGACTGGTACAATGAAACACGCTAGAAACATCTTCCTTGCATGTCTAATCAATATAGGACACAGAAGTACTTAAAAAGAAAACTGTTCCAAAAAACTTAACCTTAACCCGGGACGCCGACTCCGACACCGATGCCGAGGGTCCTAGTATTACATAAGCTCCCCCAACTTCGTTGAGGTGAGCTAAAAAAAAAGTGCAATACATAAAGATTATGTTAGATAAAAGAAGCGATGCCTTTTTTTTTGGCAGAATATCACATATTATGCATTAATTTATGTGTATAAGGTACGTCTAATAGCAAGTTTAAAGTTTTCTGTCTAAAATCTAAGGGTTTTTATTTTATTGAAAAAAGGGTGAAATCAATTCATGAAACAGATTATATTTAATGCCTTATATTAACGAATTCATGAAATGTATAACAAAATAAATCCACTTTCAAATTTTTGAAATACGTTCTATTAATTAAATGCATTTTCTGAAAGGTTTTAAACAGGCTTCGATAGATGAATACGATTGAATTTTTTGCTGTTTTACATACCATTCGAAAAATTTTCATGCAGTTAGAAAGGCTGCCATAAACTGGCGATGGACCTTTACTCGACACTGTGAGCAGCATCTTTATCGTGCCAACACCTACTGCGACACGGGGTCTCGGTTTTAAAGGTCTCATGCGAAGAACCCACAACTTTTACTCCAAAGTACCAAGATCTTAGCGAAGGAGCAGTTACGACCTATTTTTATCGATATACGTCAGTCGCGGCGTGATTCGAACACAGGACCTTCCGATCATGGAGTGAGTGCTCTATCGACAGAGCTGCTATGGCATTAAGATGAATACGAAGATATTGGCTAAGCAATTAAAACCTGATAAAGTTTAAAATATTTTCAAAGTAATTTATCCTATAAAAAAGTCATTGCTCCTTAAATAATTAATTACTTTAAACCATGAATTTATAATGAAAACTAGTGAGAAGACTCCTACCATGTTTCATCTTTGTTTTTCCCTCAGGTGCATGTTAGATTCCAAGAAACGAAGCATAAGAGTTATAATAGGATTTTAAGTAAACTTTATTCTTATATAAATGATTGTATGATATACTTAAGTGTGACAGTTAATATACAAGTGGATTGAATCAATAAAAAACACAAGGATTTTTTTAAAAATACACATATCACGTGTTTAAGAATTGAACAAAGAAGCTTTATCAAAGGACATTATTGTAAGAAAAAATATAAATAACACGTGTAAGTGTGTCAGGAAAATTTCCGTTAAACTAATAAGCATCATATATCATATATGATGACAATTAATTAAATCAAACCTATTCATTCATTGATGGGTACTTTATTAACAAACTTAACCTCATCTTAAAGACGAGACATAACATTTAACCAGCACGTGTTACTGAAGAAAATGCAGCTGAAACGATCCAGCTTTTCCTTAAACTTCAATATGCTAATAAAGGAATCGACGCGGTTAATAAAGGAAATATTCTTAATCACAAAAGGGTCCAGTCTTGTATTCCACCATATTTCAAGTTAAAGACTACACCTTTTATTTCCTACAAATATCCATCGACCATTGCTTCAAATTTTTTAATTACAAAAAACTTTATATGTACATGGCCTGGATACCAAAATCTGATACATAATACTCGATCGTGTTCATGTTCTTCTTCACCCTATAATTATAGTCCCGCTAGACACGTTACTACAGGTGACGTAAATATAGTTAATAATGAGGACCTTAAATCACTTATTTTAAAAGGTCCTAAATATGGGGAACTCCGATCCTTCAACTAGCGTCGGAATTTCATAAATATTATGGATTCCGTTGAAGATTACGCCAGCGATGGGCAAGATATGAATATCTTCTATGAAGATAGAAGACCTTGACACTTTGTCAGAATGGATTAAATATATCAGATCCCTGATAAAATCGCGTATCATAAGCATATCCTTCTGTATTCAATCCAGAAGTGAAAGAAGAACTAGAGATTACATGATCAATACGAGATAAGAACATTGTCTTCGTTTGTAAGGCTCATTATATAAATTGTATGTTAGAAGAACTTGGATTTATTATATAAGTGGTAGTCCAACTTATACTTATACTCATAGTTCCCTTTCTAAGGAGGACATTCTTCAAAATCATATGTCAGTTTTGAATATTTTTAATACGGTATCCAAAAGAACCAAAATGATTTTGAACAACCATATATATATCGGATTCCGAAATTTCGTAAGAATCCTTACAAATAAAGATACATAGCGGGTAACAGTAAATGTTCAACCAAGCCTCTTTCTTTACTCCTCGTTAAGATATTAACAGTAGTCAAGGATAAACTACAAGAGCACTGTGTAACAATATATTCAAGAAGTGGTATAAATCAGATGTGGATACTTAAAAATTCAAAGGAACTTTTGGGCAATTTGAAATCGCAAGATTTTACCAAAATCAGCAGCTTAAATCATACCACTTTTCAACTTTATACACAACCATTGCACATGATAAATTAAAATCCAGGCTTTTCAATATCATTGACAGCTGCGTTTTCAATAAAAATGGAATTCGTAAATTTACTTACCTTGTCATTGGTAATTCGCAAAATTAGTTTGTTAAAAAATGCATTATGATTGTACACACAAGTATTCTGAAGTCGACATCAAAAAGATGCTTGAGTTTCTGATTGACAATATCTATGTTGTTTTTGGATACCAGGTCTTCCAACAATACACTGGAATTCCTATGGGTACTAATTAAGCGCCGTTATTTGCAGACCTATTTTTGTATTCATATGAAGCATAATTTTGCAAAATCTTGTGCGTGAAAAGAAAAATGTGATGTATACACAATATTCTTACATAACATACAGGATGTGATTTTTTGTTCCATCCGACAATGGTAAAAACAGCTTGCTGTTTTGATCTGCTCCATCATCTGTTATAAATACATGATGCATTGATTTTACATGTGTTTCATTTATAAATGTTTTACAAAAAAATTTCAAATTTAACATGTGATATATTGATGACCTTTTGCAATACTTTGTTTTTATCAACCTTAATGGAAAAGGTTTTAGAGGAATCACTGTCTAGTTTTTGGGAATGCCAAGGGGATCAATGAAAGTTAGAAACGTTTCATAGTGTCGAGGGGTGATCAAAAGTTCGCGAACTATCTCTATATCAAAAAAATCTACATTTCAGATTACAAGAAAAATTGGTCCACACATAGCCAGACACAAATTCTATAAATAGCATATGCTGAATAAAGTTTTGCCCCTTGTTTGTAACGTCACAATGTGAAAATGACGTCACTATGTAGATCACTTGTGACAAAAAATGGTCGTCTCAGATTTACTCGTTCAACAAACGACTGTAAAATTTACGGCATATCTTAGAAATTCCTTTGCAGCAGGGTATAATAATTTGTATACAGTTTATTAAGACGAAAGACCTCCTATACATTTAATCAATGACTGAATTTATCGAATTGAATTTTTGAATGAAGGCAGGTGGTTAAAAATGATATTTGTTATGTTGTCCAGTGTAAGTTTGAAAAGAGATGCGTTTTTAAATAAGCGATTTATTATCAAAGACCTCCAATTTACAGTTTGAAAAAATAGTTGAATATCTTAACAATAATATAATTATTAATTACATAAGATATCGTTTACTTTAGATTCTAAACATATTAAATATGATAAAAAGAAGGCACCCATTTTCTATGCACCTGGAATAAATATTGAATGAACCTGTCTCCCGAGACAGAAGATTTGGGATTTGATGGTCACCATGCTTATTTTTGAAAAGGGTTTTTTTTATCCACCCACTCTGTTGCAAAGATTTGGCCATATCTGACAAAGGAACTGCCCTTGTTATAAAAATTAATATACATGGAAAGAGATATAAATATCTTTCAGCTTTTGTGACAGAACGCTACGGAAGGAGTCAGGTGACCGCCTATAGCAAGTGGTTTGCGCATGAGCAGAACGTACCTTTACCTTTACGTGTGAAATAACTCTGTCCCTCTCGATAATTTTGGACTCCTATGGAGGCACCACAGGACCCACAACTGTCGACCTATACTAGACCTATACTCGAAACTCAGGACCCTTCATAGGGGATTGTTTGTGAGCCAGCATCTACTGCGACACAGCAAACATGACAAAAATTGTATATACATGTAATGCCACCCCGATAAATCAAAATTAACATGACACATCTTTGTTTTTATTTGTACAATTATAGAATCATTGTTGAAATTAATAGC